CAGCTCGAGTTGCTCCGGTGCAAGTTCCAAAGGCACCTTTAAAGCCATATTAGATTACCAAGTATAACGAAGGACCAGCAAGTATTATGTTGCCTCCTTGCATTCAAGCGCCGAATAAAATAATCAATTTTCCTTTCAAAAAAGTTTTTGCATCCACAATGACGGACCTGGGGCAAGTAGGCGGACAAGAGAGTTCCGCATTATTACTATTATTGTAAAGGGTAGTTTTCCAAAAGCGAACGAAACTAGATGTAATTTGAGTTGGAGAGTTTTTGGAACGGAAACTTTTCCATATTAAAGAAACAAAAAAAAAAAGGACATTTTTACAAACAGGCAATATCATAATAAAATCTCAGAAAAAGTCAATTTATTGCTTCAGGCGTTAGGATTCGGAATACTGAAACGGGGAAACGTCCTGGATACTTTTGACTTGGACCGACACCCGACAGGACGATATTTGATTTCTATTTTTGTTCGTCGGTGGAACATATGTCCAATTTTTTGCTTTGTAATTTTTTTACCTGTAATAATAATATTTATTATTGTGGATGAGTTTTTTCCGTTTGTTTGAAATAAAAATTGAAACATTTTTCTCGGCAATGGAGAATTATTGGAATTGTGAGCGAATATTGAATTTCATCAATTATGTATAAATTTTGTGGGAAAAAATTACTGTTTTGTTTTATAACTATATTGAAAGTTTCTTAAAACAATATTGATTCGGTTGTCAAGCTAATAAAAGTGCGTTTACCTGGAAATAATAGGTATTTTCCACTCAACTGATTTGTATTCAATACAAAACATGAAAGGGTATTTAGTTTGAGGGGGATTTCAAAGAGAAAATAATGGCAGTATTCAGCAAAATCGGCATAGTTGTCTAGATTATCGTCAATTCTCTATTTCAATTCAAAATATTTAGGGGTTAATTCTGGGTATTATATAACAAAAATAGTGGTGAACCAATTTCATAAAAATAGTTTTCGGGTGCAAGTGTGTGTCGAAAACAGTCTTATTGGCAATTTAAGCATCGGTACAGATGACAATAAGTGCCGACAAAAGGAAGCGGAGCAAAAGAAACGTGTCCATTACGAAACGTGGTAGTAATGAAAAGCCCAGGGACTTTTCTCGCACGCTAGAGGCAGTTACGGCGGACTTTCAATTTTTAACCTGGACCGAGAAAACTTTAAGTGCCTACTATAAAGTCGAGATTACTTTTCCAGTAATTCCTATTTATAAACCTCGAAATTCAATTTGTAAAGAGATATCCTCTCGCAACGAAAGCCTAGTCTTTATTGACAAAACTAAAAAACGTGCAGTTTTATATAAGAGCAATCAGTGTTTTTTAATTTGCACCTTTTCACATTTTAAAAGCCGAGCGAGAAATTATTTTTCGTACGTCGAGTTAAAAACTTTTGGGCTCTTATTAACTTCTATTTTACATTAAAATTGAGGGTAATTTAACTTCGAAGAAAAGCAATTTGCATTCAATGAACCTTTTTGTGAATAATGGAACATTTCGGTGGTAATTGAGTCAAATACTAAACAATATAGGTCTTTTGCGAGGTAACTTTATCGCCGCACTTTTATCCTAGTGGTTTAGTTTTGTGTTATTATAATTTAGTTGTGTGAATACTTCAACGGTTACGCGCCACAATTTAAAAAACACCAAGTATAGAAGCGTCCTCTACAAAGCAACTGTCAATATTACATGCCATTTCATTGTGCGATGTTGCCGGATGAACATGAACATTTCAGCTCATTTGCATTTATACTTCAAATCTGAGAATAATTTAGTGTATGGAGGTTGGAGTATGTTGATTGACCATTAGGATACAAAATCTCGACAGAAAAAAAAATTTAAATTTCATCGTTTTAGTAAAAAGGTACCTACCTACCTTATGCTTATGATTTAGATTTTGGAAAACTTTGAAAGGTCATAACTTTTTTTCTATTACAGATAGAAAGCTGAAACATTCACTGAATTTTTATCCCTTTCAAGGGAATACAATCCCTGAAAATTTCAGCTTATTTGCACTCATAGTTCCGCAGAACAACATCGTGTTAAGTAATTTGAGGTAATTTATCAATTTTTCAATTTTTGTGAGTGCCTTATTTCATAGATTTCGGTTTCAAATCTGAGAATAATTTAATAACACCTTTCTACCATTCTATTAGATCGTGGGTACAAAGGACTTGATGTCGCATGCTGAAAATTCCATTTCCTAAAGAAATTTAGAAAATCTTTGGATTTAAACTCCGTTATCTGAAAATACAATAAAAGGTATATCTACCATTAACAGAAAAAATTTCTTTCAACTTCTCTATGACATTGGAATTACCTAAAGAAATTAATTTTTAACACTTCTTATGGGATTCCTGATCCCGGTCAAATTCAACCAAATTTTATTATGTTATAGATCTGACCTTGCTGATCAATAACTACTAGGGGCACAACTTAATCCTATGACTAGTTTTTGAGATACGGGGTGTTCAATGTGTGGATGTCCGATATACGAGAATTCGGTCAAGGCACAGAAATCAAGTAAAATACCAATAGATATTTGTGCTCGAACGATAGGTTCATGTACAGGGTGTCCTATTTTGGTTGTACGTAAGGAATTACTCGGTTATTATTGGAGTTGGAAGGTTGCGGTTTTCGCGAACTTCGGCTACAAGAGATGGCGCCAAGAACAAAATGAACATGTTCAAATTTAAAAAAAAAAATCACCGGGGGGGGGGGCTGGGAGAGATTCTTGGAAGCTCTGCAGGTCTCTCCTGGTAATGGAGCAAAACTCGCCGATAGTGGAGCAAAATGGAGCAAAACTCGGAGAACAAAATGAGCATGATCAAATTTCAGAATTTTCACTGGGGGGAGCTGGGAGAGATTCTTGGAAGCTCTGTAGGGTCTCTCCTGGTAATGGAGCAAAACTCGCCGATAGTGGAGCAAAATGGAGCAAAACTCGAAGAACAAACTGAGCATGATCAAATTTCAAAATTTTCACCGGGGGGGGCTGGGAGAGATTCTTGGAAGCTCTGTAGGTCTCTCCTGGTAATGGAGCAAAGCTCACCGATAGTGGAGCAAAATGAAGCAAAACTCGGAGAACAAAATGAGCATGATCAAATTTCTGAATTTTCACTGGGGGGGGGGCTGGCGTTAATTCAGCCCCCCCCCCACCTAATAGGCCACATAGTCTCTCCACTGTAATGGAGCAAAAATCGAAATTAGTGGAGCAAAATGGAGCAAAATGAGAGCAAAATTATGGGATAATTTTCATCCAGAAATTTTCTATGGGGGGGCTAACTTAACTGACCCATTTGACACCAACTTTGAATTTAACCGGAGATTAAATTTAACTGTAATTTTAAATCGAAAATTAAATTCAAAGTTGGTGTCAAATGATAGTTTATAAAAATCTAAGATAGGAATGTAAAATCATTTTTCGTCTAAAATTAACCGTTTAGGTTTTACAGCCTATCAAAGTTGCAAAAAGTCAATTTTCAACTGTCAATATTTCCAACTTAGGTATAGGGTATATTGCATGAAATCTGCTCAGAATTTTACGTAGAATCCAAATATGTAATCACATACAGGGTATTCCATTTAAAATAACAAACTTCTGTCGCATACTCCATAAACGGAGCACCCTGTATATTCAAAAATATTTTCAACTAATGCATATTAGAGTATCAAATAACTTTGTAATTTAATTTTTTTTTCTTGCATCACCCTCTAAGGAGATATCGTCCGATATGTGGACACCCTGTATAAGTATTGAAATTTACTTAAAAAATCTTTTATTATTTATTTTATTAATTAAAATACAATAGTGATAAACGAAAATATGTGGATCAAATTGCTAGAGGGAATGCCTGCGAAAACAAATGAACGCTCCTTAAGGGATTGCGCTGGCTTAAATAAGAAATATCTGCTGATGCAGCACTTACGTAGGCGGAATGGTGGTACTATCAGTGGAGTACTGCTGATTAAGCAGTTTTACATTATTATAAGTTTTGACATAGGCGTACGCTTATAATTATCATAGGAAAGGAGAATTATTAGTAAAAAGATAACATAGGATCTTACAATATAACTCCGGCGATGATAAAAAGGTATTTTTTTTTTTTTTGCTGTTGTTTATTTTCAAATAATTGTATATAACATAGAACGAACTTCCTATACAGGTTAGTTGTTTGTTCTATTAAATATTCTCAACCCTTATCAAATATATTCTTCACTCCCACAATCGCCCCAAAAATAAATAAACTCGTTGAAACGAGGACGGCGTTGTTTATCATCACTCCCCTTTGTTCCGAGAAAAAAAAAAAGGTTGGAACACCCGATACACTTTTCACTATACACATAACTGTTGACTTTGCACCTCTTTCTGAAAAAATCTGAGAAAACATGCTTATCGTATCCAATTAGATTCTGAATTTTAAACAAAACAAAATCAAATGCTAAGTAACCCGATTTATGATATTTATACCGAATTTAAATTGGGGGATTTGTATCCGCGTAGCGGGCCTCCTCCCTTCTGTAAAGGGGAATTTGATAATTATTGTAAGAAAATAAATAGAAATTTATTGGCCTAAAGAAAAATATGTTTGCCCTAAAAAAACAGCCATTAAACCTTTATTAGAGTTTGGCCTAAAACCAAGAAAGGAGAGGCTTCTTCTTTATGGCGGACGCAATCTCTGGCAATTCGGACCCGGGCACATGTGGATTCCGAAGTCTCGTGGAGTGCAATCTTCTAAATAAAGTTCCGCCTAAGTGTTTTTCGCAATAAAGGGTCCCAGGGGCCGATGATGAAGGAACCCTTTTCGCCCGGCCGGGGCGCCGACATCATTTTGTCTTAACAAATTGGATAAGGGTTATTTCGTCCTAACATAGATTATGTTACTTTCTTTTGCGACTCTCAAAACGACCCTATACTTTGGTCGTTACCGTTACCTTGTGATTCTCTTTTATTTGTAGATATTTAAAAAAAAAAGATACTTACGGTTTTAGGATGGGTTGTCAGTCCTTGTCAGGAGCCCTGAAACAAAAAATTAATTATTAAAAAAACCCAGACGTTTAAACCTCCAAGGGTTTAATGTTTAGTTGCGCCCCTAAAAATATAATATAAAAGCAAAGTAGAAAGTTTAATGGAAAGAAAGCCACCTTTGAATATTAAGCAGTAATTAAGGTCTAAGTAAAATTAGTGGAGTGGAGTTTTATGGAAGAGGAAGGGTCCGTTCGCAGCTAAAATGAATATTTTACATTAAGATTATCTGTAGGGCTTTTTTCACCCCCCAAAGTACACAGGAGCCTAATTGCGGAGGCTAAAGGGCAACTCGAGTGGCTATATTAAAATTTGCTCTTAGGGAATCTTGCACTAAAACTCTCCAATTGACAAAGTCCCGTGCCGCAATCAGGTAAGGTAAAACCTTCAACATGTAGAGGGAAAACCGAAACGAATAAATCAGCAATAAAGCCGATGGAAATCCCCTAGAATACCTACAAACGGGATTCGGGGGCAGCAAGATTTGCGGCCAATTGATTCGATGCGGCGCGATTTTATACTACGGATACGGTTGCATTCTCTCCCCCCGGGATTTCGGACATTACCATATTTTGACCTTTACTTAAATCATTCGGAATACACGTCGGCTTATTAGGAATGGGTGGAGAGTCTCGGTCGTATATTTTCCACTCCAACAGCGATGCGCTCTCATTAACTCGAGCCAATTAAGATCTCCGAATGGTTTATTTTGTTTTTAAAAAAAACCTTTCCGTGTCGAGACACTGTTTTGAGGAGGGGGGTTGAAGTAAATTCCGCAAAGAAAATTTGGCTTTATTAAAACTTCACTAACGATACGCTCTGCGGGGATTCCTTTGGATCTATTTAATTTGAGACACCGCATGATTGCGAGGCTCACACCTCGAGGCTTTAAGACCATAAAATCTTTGGAATAGTTCAAGTTTCCTTCTTCGTCAAGTTATTTCAATTTCCACTCGAGTTTATTATCCACAAGGAATTTTGTATTAAATTAAATCAAAATCACAAAGTGCGGTAATGATTTCCGATTTTCCAAGGGACAAATGTGTGTCATATTAATCATAAATTTTGAAGTAGGCAACGCGTAAACATCAGTTTGGTGTTTTCCAAGAATTTTCCGCGTCTATAGCGGATATCGCCCCTTTTGCTTGGTATGGCACAACAAAACACTTTTCCACTGTTATCTGTAACTTTAGCTTAGTTAGCACAACTTAGATGGAAGCTAGCGTCACAGTTTTTACATTCATAAGGGTCTACCACTTTTTTCGTAGCACTTTTTTTGGTTTTTTAGTTCCACAACGTTTATATTCGCTTTATACGACATAACCTCGAAATTCGAACCATGAAAATTTTGAGAAACCGAGACAAAAACCTAGAAAATTCTATCCTAGTATATTTTTTCCAAAAAGTCAGTGTCACGACTGAGATGGAACCCTGGTTCGTCTGATGTAGCCTCTTTCTAGACTGGTGGACATTTCCAGAAATCGTACTTTATTTTACTCCGGCATTTCGTGCAACATTCGACTACTTGAAGTTTCTAGGGTATTTCCCGAGGGGTGGTTAACTCTTTAAAATATGTACACAGATTTTAAATCTTCATTAATTTTGTAGGATTTTGAAAATCTTCACAAGCTTTTACAGGATTTTAAAAGATGTTAGGTGATTTTGGAGTATTTTAGGGAAGTTGGAAGGGTTTTTAGAGATCCTAAAGGATTTTTAGAGATTTTAACGGATTTTTGGGGATCTCGGAAGATTTTATGGAATTTTTCGAAATTCCAGAATTTGAATAGAGAAACAGATCTTCCTAGAAATTTTACAATAAGATTTCATAATACTTTTTCGAATTTCACCATAAGATTCCATGAAATTCCACCATAAAATTCAATGGAATTCTTGCACAAAATTTTCTCGGAATTACACTAATCTTCGGAATTCCGTGGAAATTTCTCGTGGTTCCATGGAAATACCACGGAAATTCTGTTTAATTCCAAGGGAATTTTTCGGATTCCATATAATTCGACGAGAATTCCTTGGAATTTTACTCAACATTTCATCGAAATTTTATGTAAGTCGACACAGAGTGGAATTATATATAATTTGATGAAGATTCTGCGAATATTTCATTTTTTTTTTTTTCGAAATCCCACTGAAATTCTCCAAAATTCTATAGAAATTCCAAATTCTATAATTTTTTTAAAACTTTACTGAAATTCCCCAAAACTTCACCACCGAGTTCACCACTGAAATATCCTGGAATTCAACGAAATTTTCATAACATTCTTCGGAATTTCACTGGCATTTCCTGTAATTCCCTGTAAAAATTTTATGAGAATATTTTGAAATTTCACTGAAATTCCACGTCACTAGTCGAAAATTTCTCGAAATTTCAATGAAACTTTAATTCTTTTTTTCAAAATTTCATTTATTTCCATAAGAATTGTTCGGAATTTCACTGAAATTGAAAGAGAATTTCAGGGATTTCTGGGAATTTGATGAAGCTTCAAGTACTTAATTTCTTGGAAATTCATCGAGATTCCTTCGAAATATATTGAAATTTCATGGGAATTTTTCCAAATTTCACCGAAATTCCAAGTTTTTAGCCAGAAATTCCTGGGAATTCACTTTGGGAATTTTCTCTAATTTTACTAAAATTCAATAATTCAATGGGAATTTTTCGGAATTTCAATTTCACTAAAATGCCATGTTTTTAACTGGGAATTCCTTGGAATAAAAATAAAACTTCATGTAATTACATTAGGATTTTTCGGAATTTCACTGGAATTCCTTATGAAACGATAAGAGTTGTTCAAAATTCCACTTAAATTTCATGTAATTCCCTGACAATTCCTTGGAATTCCATGCAATTGCATGGGAGCTCCATATAATTCGACGAAAATTCCTCGAAAATCATGTTTTTTGAAACTTTTTTAAAATTCTTTATGCAATTTAACAACCACTGGAAATTTCATGTTGGGAATTACGGTGTAATTCAATAGAATTCCTGCATGCAACGCATTCAGGATTTCATGTAATTCGATCAAAATTCCACAGAAATTTCAATTAATTTCTCGAAATTTCATGTAATTCGAGAGGAATTGAAATTTAATATGAATTCTATGGAAACTCGGCAAAAATTTCACATATCACATTTCACGCCATAAAATTTAATCCAATTCTGGGAATTTTTTTTTCTTTGGAATTACAATGTAAGATTTCATGAAATTCTTTGGAATTCCACTAAAATTTCAAATTATTCGTTATTCCATGGAAATTCCGCGAAAATTTCAGTCAATTCATCCATAGAAATTCCTCAGAGTTTTACCAGAAGATTTTATGGAATTCCTCGAAATTTCATTCAAGTGATATATTTGAATGGAAAAACGTAAATTCCTAGAAATTTTACTATAAGATTTCATAATACTTTTCCGAATTTCATCATAAGATTCTATGAAATTCCACCATAAAATTTATTGGAATTCTTACACAAAAATTCCTGTGTCGTACACTATGAGATTTCATGAAATTCTTCGGAATTCCATTAAAATTTCAAGTTAAGTATACCATGGAAATTCCATAAAAATTTTAGTTAATTTCATAGAAATTCCTTAGAATTTCACCAGAAGATTTCATGGAATCCCTCGAAATTCCATTTAAATAGTAAATTTGAATGGAAAAACGGAAATTCCTAAAAATTTTAATATTATTTTTCCAAATTTCATCATAAGATTTCATGGAATTCCACAATAAAATTCAATTGAATTCTTGAACAAAAATTCTTCGGAATTACACTATGAAATTTCATGAAATTCTTCGGAATTTCACTAAAATTTCAAGTTATTCCATAGGAATTCCGCGAAAATTTAAAGTAATTTCATAGAAATTCCTTATACCAGAAGATTTTATAAAATTCTTAGACAAATTTTTGCGGAATAAGGATTTCACGAGGGATTTCATGAAATTTCTCGGAATTCCACTGGAATTTCAATTTCAAAATTCCACATATATATTTTTTTTTTTCAACTTTACTGAAATTTCCCAAAATTTCACCACTGGAATTTCACAAAATTTTCATAAAATTCTTCGGAATTTCATCGACATTTCATGAAATTTCTTAAATCAGAATATTATAAAATTCCACGTTCAAAGCCGAAAATTTCTCGAAAGTCCAATGAAACTTCAAGGAATCTTTTCAAAATTTCATTTATTTTCATAAGAATTTTTCGGAATTTCACTGAAATTCTCTTTTAATAGCCAGGAAATTATGAGAATACTATTAATGAAACTTCAAGTAATTTTTTAAAAATTCACCGAAATATATTGAAATTTCATGTCATTGCATGGGAATTTTTCGGAATATCACCGAAATTTCATGTTTTTAGTCGGAAATTCCTCGGCATTCTACTTGTGGAATTTTCTGATATTTTACTAAAATTCAGTGTAAGGACTGAAATTTCTTATCGAGAATTTCGGTGTACCTAATTTCATATAATTGTTTAGAATTCCTCCATGCAATTCATTTAGGATTTCGTGTAATTTGATCGGACTTTCTGTGTGAATTCTATGGAAACTCCGCAAAAATTTCAGAAGTAATTCCTTTTTCAGAATAACATTATTCTACCGAAATTCCTCGAAATTCCACTAAATTATGGAATTCTGAGAGACTTTAACAGATTTTTGGGGATTCCAAAGGATTTTTGCGAAAATCAAAGGAAATATTTTTCAAGAATGTTAATGATTTTATGAAATTTTGCAGGATTTTTTTGGTTTTAATGAAATTTTGTTAGATTTTGTGGGATTTTGAGGAATTTCAATAGATTTTTTGGGATTTTGTTGAATTTTTAAAGATTTCAAAGATTTGTAGGGATTTTGAGTGGATCTTATGAGATTTTCTGGGATTTTGACTAACTAGTACAAGGATTTTGACCAGTTAACCACCCCTCGGTATTTCCCCGCTGAATCCGAATCCTGATGTTGCCAATCCGAATTTTGGCTCCAAA